ACTCTGAGAGATTTGGTAAACTATGCACATGTTAAAAATGGGACTTTCACCACGTTTGTGAAAATGTATTTTTGGTTGCCTAACAGAAATTCTAAACAAACTAATATGCCTTGTCTTTATGTATACTTTCTCTGATTTTAGCACATCAAAATAAATAATTTATTTTTCTAACGAAATCCATCTCATTTTTGTTATGATGGACAACAAAAAGAGGGGTTGCAAATTATTTTTTTCTTTTTAATTATGTTCTCGATGTTGGAACATGCAAACATTGAATATACTGATTAAGTCTTAATGGAATCATGCTATAGTTATCTGGAAAAAATAGGTTATCTTAATAGAGAGTTTAGTCCATTCCTATAAAGGAAGTACAATGCTATTATAAACTTCTGCGTGTTTTACCTGTTAGGACTATAAAGCTCAAATATTTATGCAAATGAAAATCTGATACCTCAAAAAGAAAAGGAATAATTCAGAAATTGATTATAAGGAGACATTTTATGTTGAAATATACTATAAATTTTGCATCTCTAGTTTTTTACATATCCTGGGAGCTCAAACACAATTTATCAACTAATTGACCGAGGAATATACACAGCTGACTTCTGATCCACTGACCCTCAGCTTGCCATGGGCATCAGAGTCATAGTCACAACCTATGGTGACATGTGTAAGAATCATGTGCAGAAATTTAGAAAACTAATGATCATGATAACTTAAATTTAACCATGGACATAGTTCAAGGTTGTTTTGAGCAATGTTGATTTAGAAATGTGCTGGGCTGTACAATTCTGGAAAAGAAGATTCTGTTAACCCAAATAACTAACATAGAACATGTTACCGCCCAGTGGACACTTGAAAAACAGCGATGGAATCAGTACGTGCCTGCTTCTGCATTTCATCATAATGGAGGGCTTTCACATTACTGATGGGTTCTAGCAGAACTTAAATTGATTACCTGGACCTAGACCAATTTTCCTCCAAGTCAGTATGACACTGCCCAGTATGAAACATTCTTTTTTGTTCAATTTAGAAGTAGAGAAAAGAATGCATGAATTTCCAGTTTTAAAATATTACATAAAGTGCAGCACCTCATGCTTTCCTACTGATAAACCAGTGGATAAGGAAGCCATGGCACACTCCTGTCCTCACTCCCATCCCCAGTAGTGAATACTGAGCTGAGAAAAAAATAATGATGTGCTTAACGTGTGGCTGGAGCTGTGTGAGGACCTCTAAATTTGTTTTTATTTTTAACAAAACAAAATTTGATAAGGTAAGTGATACCAGACAAGGTGGCACTGAGACGGACACCTTGTTCCTGGACCTATTGCTGTTGCAGGGAATGGAGGAATTCACTGGAAGAGTGGGGGAAGACACTGGTGCTGTGCTGTCTCCTCACGTGGACTTCTGGCAGGTCAATTCCTCCAGTAGATCCCTGATTGGTCTGTTTTCTAAACCTTCTCCTGATCGGTCTATTTTCAGGGCCCAAAAGCTCATTGGACAATTGCCTCTATATAAGCCCCTAAGCAGAGAGCCCAAACACAGACCTCCGAGAGAGAGCAGGAGAGCAAGGAGGTCTGGCTCTTTGTGAGAGCTGTAACACTTGTTTAATAAAACCTAACCTACTGCTGATCCTGTGGTCCATCGCTTCATTCATCGAATCACTGAGACCAAGAACCTGGTATCATAAGTACTTTTATTATGAAATAAGGGCACTGAGATTTAGAATCATTCATGTAACCAAGGTCAAGAAAAGACTTGAGTATAGGTCAAGGGGGTCTCTAAAACCACTAATGCCTGTGGTCAAGAAGAGGTGCAGCCCCTCTCCTCATAAACATCTTTAAAACTGTACCTTAGCTGGCCTTATTTTGTTGGCTTTCTTTGTTGCTTTTTTTTAGTTTATGCAAGGGAGAACCAAAAGATGAACTGTTACCTGTTTGCCGTTGTGCGTGACTGAGGACAAGATGGTTCTCAGCGTCTTGAATCCCATAGCGATGTCAAGAAGATGGGCGGCAAAAAAAAAGTTGTTATAATGTCCGAGAACGGACATGGTCATGTACCAGGCCAGGTAGAGGAAGGACTATCAAGACAAAAAAAGGGGAAAACATGTCAGAAAAAAGAGCCCTCCTGTCCTACAAAAAAATAGAAACTTAGGCATGGTGGCACATGCCTATAGTCCCAGCTACTCCAAGGCAAGAGGACCTTGTCTTTATTTTATTTTTGTAGAGATGGGGTCTTGCTATACTGGACTCCTGCGCTCCTGTGACTACTGTCCTCTCGTCCTAAATACTCCAGGGATAGAAAGTTGAACACATCCTGACTCTTAGGAGGAATCTAAAAAAAGGTGATTGTATAGAAGTAAAAAGTACAGAAGAGAATACAACAGGCTGGGAAGGGGTAGGGAGGATGAAGGAAGTATTTGTTAACGGACACAAAATTACAGCTAGACACGAGGAGTTCTAGGGGTCTGTACCATTGTAGGATGACTATAGTTAACAATAATATAGTTTTAAATCATTAGGAGAAATAACCTTCACCCAATCTGTGAAAAAACAAAGTATATAAGCAAAACACATATACTCCTTAATATTCTGAAACAAACGAAAAATAGCTAGAAGGATCTAGAAGGATATTAAATGTTCCCAACACAAGGAA